CCCTCACCTGGACGTCTGGATAGGCCGTCACAATCTGCTCCTGAGCCGACTTCTTGTCATTCCTCTTGAACACGAAGTCTCCCAGTGCTCTGGAAAGGGCTAAATTGCCGTTCACTCGGTTGAACTCTACCCAACCCCCGGCCGCACAGATCCGTCTCGACTCCATCTCATTGGAGGGCTTGTGATCTAAGGACAGGGCGTCCACTCGACCCCCAAACGAGGCCACGGCTCGCGAGTCGCCCACATTTCCCTTTCATAGCAATAAATTTAAACATATTTTCAATATTATGCCAACGATTAAGGAAAAGATTTCGGATATAAATAAATAAAGAAATATTTCGTATAAATAGAAAAATGTTTACAAATATATAAATATTTCAATGAATTGTGATATTTTCCGCTTTAATATCACAGTTCATGTCATTGTTATGATAATAACAAGTATTGAAAACAATTACATCTATTCAAAGCGTTCATCATTTTTCTCAAATAATCGTTAAAAGCAAATAAATATTAGAAAAGTATAATGAATTGAATAAAAATAATGCATTAAAAGTATGACAAAAGAAATATCACAAACATATTATTAATGATATGACGATTTTATGGTATTGTGTCGATAATAAAAACCTTTTTATTCAAGACTAGTGATGAATAAAAAATATTTCCATCATAAAACATATGATATAATTGTCTAAAACATATGAGTACGTAAAATAAGTTATTTTTAATAACTGTACTATAAATGTCAAAATGTATTACGGTACAAACATATGAATGGCATACTACAGTAGACGTCAAGAATAAAACTAATTTATATTCAGTATTAAGTTCTTAAACAAACATTTGTCATATCAAAACAATAGGTTTACAAGTGGTGTGACCTCCACTACAAAGTGTGGTATAATCTCCAATAATCCAGACATATCCTAACCCTGACATTAACGCACTTTTAATTCATACTTTTCACAATTATATTATCGTAACACTGGGTAAACTGATATGAAATAATTAAAAAAAAGTATTTGGCATCGCTTTGAATATCATTTCAAACAATAAATTATAATAATTAGGTTATAGTTGTGCCAATATTGTATTCAAAGCTTCAATTAAATTACTTTTGATGACTTAATAGCAGAAATCGTTGACTCTATTGTACTGTAGTTTAGAAATAAATATTTGTACTCTATTTTAGACACAAATGCCGGTAATTATACATTTATATCACATTTGCTTATTACATCCAATACTATAATTAAGTGCAGGAAATATTGGCTCAAAAGTTAGCTAATAATCGCTACAAACATAACCATCAAAAAAGCGCAAAACAAAAAGCAATTGATTTCCTCACAAAAACACACAATACTCACTCAACTCAAGGGTCGGGGAGGGAAAAGGAGGGAGAGAGAGAGAGAGAGAGACTACAAAACTTGATAAAAGACTGGCAATAATACTGTATTACCGTAATTACAAACAAACAATACAATTGAGACCAAAAAGCACGAGACAAACAAAAAAAACTAAACATAAGATAAAAAAACACCAAAAATTGTGACCAATTCTTACGCAATAAATCTTATTGTTTTTGATGAGACAAGTGATGGCTGTAGTGCCGGCCAACTCGTCGCGCATCTGGTCATCGCTCAGCATATCTGAGTCCAACTCGAGGAACGACTGGCGAATGGCCTCTTCGACCAGACCCTTGTGGTAGAGGGCGTGGGTGCAGACCTTGCGGTGCAGGTGTTTGGCGGCATACTGGGCCACTTTGGCGCCCCCGTGGCCGTCGTATACCGCGAAGAATGAACAGCTCTTGTCGTCCGGACACGAGAGGATGTGTGTGTGCG